CACCACAAGCAAAATATATTAACGAGCAAAGTTTAACGAGCTTCTGAGACACCAGCACGCCCCCACAGCCGTGGTGCAAATAGTTGCAAAGTGTTTCTGAGCGGTGGAAGCTTCGAAACCCGGTGCACCGGGGCGTGCCGTGCCGAGCCGAGGTGACGACACAAAGACTGGAACAGAGGTGTGAAGAGAAGCATTGTGCGTCGGAACCAGCCGTTACATGCGACAAAGGTAGTTTCAAAGCCAGGTTTTCGCTCATTATGAATTGTGTATATTTGATGCTCTTTCCTTTTATACTCTTGTGCACCTTTACCCCCATTTCAGAGGGCTTACGAGACTAAACGCCTTCAACACTAGGAAAAAATGCAGTGTCAGAACCAGCGATTCACAAGTACTCTTCAATAACCGCGTGGTCACAACATTCTTAGTTCCGATGGCATAAAGTGTGCCTAAGAGTCAGCATTTATAAATATTTGTAAAGTTATCAAGCATGAGACTGGGCTACCCGTCGACGCTTTCATACAGAATAAAGGTATGCGAGATTATTGTGACTTCTAGGCACATCAACTGTATCTAGCCTCTCCCCACGACTGCACCCTCTTCTGAAAAACAATGAAACAAGGCAAGCGTGGAGTGCAGATGGCCCACAGGTGCACAAAACAACAGCATCGATGACAAAAGTCAACAACAGGTCGGAGACAGTGCCAAGGACAGAGGCGCGCGTCGCGCGAGACTGGTGAATATCGGTCAAGCGTCCTGCCCTGACCCCCCTCCTTTACCTGACCGTTTTGTGAAAGATCATTGGTCATGAGAAAAACGGTTGAAATCGGGACAATACACATGATGCCTGTTTGAGCCACTCCCGGTTGCCTTGTGAAGGGGGCTTATAAGCTGTAACGTGCATTTCGCAAAAGTTTCGTCAATTCGCAGCTGGCTAAAAAGAATTCGCAGGTGCTTATATAAAGGATCTGTAACCTTATCCGTTGACATTTTGATTTCAGTCTCTTCAGTTTGACTTCGGTCTGTTCGTTACTATTGGTTCATAACCACGCGACGCGCTTGTAACGTGGGTGCAACTGGCGGGGGAAAAAACCTCGGGTGCAGCGTTGCTATCCGGTGAAGAGCAAATTCGCGTGCATGGGGTGGGCATCACCTGTACAGTAAAAGGCAACAGTGGGACGGCTGATGTTTTGCATTCTTGTAATGTACTAAAAAAAAAAAAAAAAAAAAAAAAAAAAAAAAAAACTGATTGAGACCACATTTGCTAATGACAAACGCATGACCTCCATGATATATATTGATATATATTAGGGATCTGTCCAAGGCATGTTCTGTTATATTCATTCTGATAAAGTCCAACCTCCATAAAAAAAAATCGATTTTGTTATATGTGATAAGGTGTAACCAATCAGTGCATATTCAATACTACAAATGTTATATCAATGATTTGGTGCAGCTAAAGATGTTTTTCTCTTATTCTTACCATTATTTTTTTGCTTGTGAATGAATATATTTGGCTATCAAATTCTCTAGTTATAGTCCTCATGAGTAGGAGAATGCATATACTCGTCATTCCCTCTCTGTAATAAATTCCACATCTGAGCTGAAGCTAACGCGCCGTAACACCCGTGTGTCGTACACCGTTGGCGAAACACTGATTTCGTCATCGTGAGATCGTCTGCGCTGAAGACGATCATCACCTGTCATCAGCGACCCTCTGCGAGCAAATGGCGAATTGCAGGTTACATTTGCGTTTGAAAGAAAGTCGGGGTTTGCGGCAACTTTTCCTAGCCTTCCCGTCATGCCACTAGGTGTCAGCGCCACGAACGCTTTGTTCATAGCGGCTGATTGGTTGTTCGGAGGCACGGCCTTGCTAGGCATGCGGAAAGGCAAGGTGCCCCCCCTGTTGGGCACGGCGCTCTTCATCGACGGTGCAGATTGCGTCGACGTAGATCTTGACGGTACCGGTGCTGCGGCATCGGTAGCTTGTGTTAGGTTGCGCGCCGAACCTTGTCCGAAGATCGTGCGGCAGATGCGGGATGACATTGGCGAACGAGCCGGCGGGTTACTATCTCGTGAAAACCGTTTCTTATCGCCCGCCGCTGACGAAGCTGTTGGCGAAGACGTGGGCGACAGAGCGACAGGCGATCTGATCTTTGTCCCACTGCGAATCACTCCATTAGTAATATTACAATTTGTTGGGCTAGTAACGGTACTACCGTTAGTAGCAGTGCGTATGTTGGAAGTAGTTGTCGTTGAAACGAGCTTCTCCAGCGCATTCAGCGCACGTGCAGCCTCCGCGCGATGCCGTCTGGCGTTCCCGTACAGCTCGACGAACTCGTCATCTGAGTCAGCATCGGCATCCGCGTTAGTAGCTGTGCTCCGCGGTGTCGAAAGTCCAGATTTGCGGCCGTAGCTTGTAGTAGCGTCCTTCGGGATGGAAGAGAGCGAGGGGGTCGGACGGCCGATTGGGATTCTTCGCCCGACGACGTCGCCCTGCGATTGGGGCGATGGTGCGACGAGAAACGGTGGTTCGGAGTCGAAAGACCTCCTGCTGTTTCGAGGAAACGCCGCCGCGTTGCTCGACGGTTGAGCGACTGAAAACGCGCCTTCGTCCGCGGCAAGTGTTTGGAATCCCGGATTTTCAAGCAGGTCGAAGGACTCCACGTCAGCTGGTCCGTCGAAGGCGATTGGTCGATTGCCCGACCACGAGCTGCGTCTGACGTGGCGGCCGCGGCGCGAAGGAACCGCTTTGCTGCTTATAACGGGAGGGGGCGTTGACGCCTTGGTTCTAATCTCTGGGATGACCTCTGTTGGAGAGAAAGGCAGAGGGCAAGGTGCGGAGACCGGTCCAGGGGAATAGTCATAGAGTATGGAGCCACTAGCGCCGTTAGCGACAAAGGAATCTTGAATTGGGGATGGCGTTTGGGCGTACGTGTCGGGGATGATTATATCGGGGACAAAGTCCGTCATGGAGCAGGAGCGTCTGTGGCGGCGCGGCTGTAGACCCTCTTGCGGCTGCGGTTGTGGAAGGTGGTATTCGTTGTTGTCAACGAACGGGTTGATTAACTGTGTTTTGTAGTTGGTGTTGCGGACGGTATTGTAACGAGGACTGCTTGCAGCTATTCTGTCCTGCTGATGCTGCTGTTGAAGATGACCCATCAAATTGCGCTGCTGAGAGGCAGTGAGGAGGTTGTTGCTGCTAGTAGAAGTATGAATAGTCTGTAGAGCCGGTTGATGCCCTGCGGTCCCTCGCCTACTAGCTACTTGTGCTGCCATAGTGTGAAAACCAGAGCTAAGGAGAATGAAATGAATTTTAGGGAATGAAGAGAAGGCCAAGACGGAGAACTGACTGAATAGAAGAAATGCAGCAAGGGGAGTCTGGAGAGAAAAAGTCGGGCCTCGTGAGAGGAGATTCTTTTGCGAACGATTTGCAAATCAATGGTGGGTGGAGCCTAGAAGATTGTTTGAAACCACATGATGTGCACGGAGCAGTTGCAGCGTGAAGGGACAACAACTACAGTTGCAGCCAGAAAAATGGAGGGAGTGGTGAGGAATGGCGAACGGATGCCTGTTGTACTTGTACGGCACAACAGAAACGCGCTGCGGAATCTGTGGCTCGTTTGCTCAGCACTCATCCTGGATCATGGATTTCTTCGGTAGCGCATCGCGATCGATCGAAGAGTTAAAGAACACAGTCATAAGCCGTTTGACGCCGTATCTTACGCCGCACTTGATTGGGCCTCGTTGGCGTTTCTGTTCATGTCTGTCATTTGACGATCTTACAGTCACGTCATCGTCCTGTCAGATGCCTAAGGTCTCGCGTCTCAACTCTGTTGGCTCCACACGGCATTGGAAGTCTGACGCTAGTTTGCTCTTGTGCCGTTGTGTTTGTGCTGTTCCGCAGATCACGGGGTGGAGTGGAAGCTTCATTCATACACCCTCTTTCTCGCCATTGTGAATTCGGTTATAGTGAAGTCAAGATGAGAAAAGCACGGTTAACGGTGGTTAGATTAAGTCTCGGTATGGTTCATTCAGACAAATCGAAGATAACAAGGTTTTCCACCAGTTGGGCACAGTTCAGTGTAGTGAGAAACAGGGTGTACACATGCTGGGTACAGCTCGCATAGAAATTAGCACATGCGTGTAGTGTACACAGCTGGCAACAGCAGGGACCAGAAGGGGGAAAGGCTGGCCGCAGTGCCAACGCATATGCAGGCGCAATATTGATTGATCGCCATCAGGCTCGTTTATAATCCTGGGTTAGAATAGGTTCTGTAAGTTGTAGAGTAAAAAACAATGATAACAGTACGGTTACCACGATCGATTGACAATATCGGTTTCGTGGGGAACTTGGTTTGACCTTGATGTGGCATCAAGCCCTTGTTCGTTGCCCCTGCAAGGAAGTTGGTGTGCGCTAGCAATAGCCAACTGTCCAATCAGTGTCGAAAGCTGCACAAAATATCGACGGCTACCGCAAACGGGCTGGAGCCTCGGTGACGTGGAATGACTTGTGACCTCCTGTTTTCTTCGTGGTGGACCGCTAGTACGGGGGGGGCGATCAGGGCGGGAATGGAGTGGTGGAGAAAGGTGCATTCCAGTTGAAAGGGTCGCCCCTACGCAGCATCATTCATTGAGGTGCACGCGCAGATCGAGAACCACGTAATCCACGTAGGACAGTTGTAGTAGGCCTCAACGAGCACTTGAAATGCTCATTTCCAAATGCTGGTTACAGTGCTGGTTACACAAGAGAGACAGCCTCACCGCGCGGGGCGCGGACATCGTGAGTTTGCTATGGTGTCATTGGTGGATACCAGGCCTGATGTCATGGAAGGTTACCCCTGACGCCCGGCCCGCGGTTTGCGGATGCTTTCATGATGTCAAGCACGTGACAAGCAAGGAGAAAACCGGTACAATCAATAAGGCCAGTATAAAATGCAAAAACATCAGAAGTACACTAGCGGGTTGAAGCTGTTATTTTATATCTTCAGTACTTTCAAGAGCTAATTGGAGGAGTGACGGGCTCCATCACAGTAGAAAGCGACAGAGATGGAGAAGACAGGCTAACACCACCAATTACACCACCTTGGTGCAAATGCACCCCAAGGCACAGCAGCAAAACAGCATCCCACAATGCAAACCTCCCCTGTTTGGATACCACAAAGGACGAAGGCAGAAAAGGGTGGAGGCCAAATTGAATGTTGTTACAAGGCAATGTGCCACATGCCCTGTGACAATGATGCGAACATAATAAGAGATTTGATGAAGAGAAAAACACACCTGAAGACAGAAGGACGGCTGGCCTTCCCAGAAAAGGACGAAAACAGGAGGTGCATCCCTTGTTATCACAACCATGTCTGCGCCAGGTGGCAGCCTAGCGTTGGCTGGTGGAATTGACCCCACAATGGCCGTAAACCTGCCGCCCAGAAGGGCAGAGGGAGACTGAGAGGAGGAAGAAGCCGAAAGCGGCAAGAGGCGGTCACGGGGAAGAGAGCCACCCACGAGGAGTGGATTTTGGGCGGCTAAGCTGGCAGCTGCGGCCGGCACTGTAGCACCAGCTGCGGAAATCTGCTGCTGCTGTTGCTGTGAAAGGGGCGATTGCAGGAATTCATCCAGCCAATGGGGGTGCGACAGGTGTGCGGCGAAGAGATAGAGCAGCAGATGAGCATCAGTTGGGAGATCAGGAGTCCATGGCACAAGGTACACTCCTTCTGGAGCAGCTTGTAACGAGTATGAAATAGAGGAGGGCTGGGAGGTGGAGAGGGAGGAAGGGGTGGAGGGAGCAGGAGAGCTTGGGGCACGGGAAGGAGAATGTGGGTGGACAGAGGAGGGGAGCGAGGTGGAGAGGAGAGAGGAGGATAGGGGGGATGATGGAGCTTCAGAGGGAAAAGGGGCGGGGGAGGAGGCGCCGGGGGTGGGGATGCGGGTGGAGTCTCGTGTGAGGAAGCTTCCTCCTGCTGACCATTGGAAGCAGCGCAGACAGGAGCCTGCTGCCAGGGCTGGGGGGATTGGAGAGGAAGGGGGGTGGAAGGGCAAGACGCAAAGCAAAGGGTGAGGAAGCAAACAAGGAGGACAAATGCAGTAAGGGTAGCAAAGGGTAGCAAGGGTAGCAAAGGTTAGCAAAGGGTAGCAAGCGAAGGGCCGCAAAGGGTAGCAAAGGCTAGCAAAGGGTGACAATGGGTGGCAACCGGTAGCAAAGGGTGGCAAAGGTTGGCAAAGGGCAAGCAAAGGGGGGCAAAGGGGTACCAAGCGGTAGAAACAGGGCTATGCTTGGATCACTTTTGGGAATTCTCAAGAACGAGGAAGTCCAGCAGGATCTCCTACCCCACCAACTGATCCCCTACCTTTGATCCGTTGAGTGCTGTACTCCAATGGCATGCTGCCACGTGGCAGCAGCCCCTTGGCCCAGTGCCCTCTAAGGACGTCCCTAAGATGCTCGTAATCCGCTATGGCTGCCAGAAGGCTCCTCGCAGCTTCCTTCTGTGCCTCCAGCTGCTGCTGTTGCTGCTGCTGCTGAGGCTGGTGCAGGCCGAATATGGACCCTGCAGGTGGCGCTGGTGAGAAGGAGGGGAAATTGGGAAGTAAGGAAGTAGAAAGGTAGGGGAGTAGGGGAGTAACTTGGAACATGGCTGGTGCAGGACGAATATGGACCCTGCAGGGGGGGCTGGTGAGAAATAGGGGGGAAGTGAGGAAGTAGACGCGCTAAGGAGAAGCAACCAATATGTCTCAAGATGTCTCAAGATGTCTCAAGATGTCTCAAGATGTCTCAAGATGTCTCAATATGTCTCAAGATGTCTCAATATGTCTCAATATGTCTCAAGATGTCTCAAGATGTCTCAAGATGTCTCAAGATGTCTCAAGATGTCTCAATATGTCTCAAGATGTCTCAATATGTCTCAATATGTCTCAAGATGTCTCAATATGTCTCAAGATGTCTCAAGATGTCTCAAGATGTCTCAATATGTCTCAAGATGTCTCAAGATGTCTCAAGATGTCTCGATATGTCTCGATATGTCTCGATATGTCTCAATATGTCTCAATATGTCTCAATATGTCTCAATATGTCTCAATATGTCTCAATATGTCTCAATATGTCTCAATATGTCTCAATATGTCTCAATATGTCTCAAGAAAGCTATCACCCTGTAGTAAATGTCCCCTTCGGAATAAGATGACTTGTGAGCGTGAGGTTTGAGACGTCTTGACTCCTACCACTCACATACCTACCTGCCTGCTCCATCACGCCTGCTCCTACCACCACACCTACTCTTACCATCACACGTTCTTACAATCACACCTGCTCTTACTATCACATGCTCTTACTATCACACCTGCTCTTCTTTTCCTATCACATGCTCTTACTATCACACCAGCTCCTATCGACACACCTGCTTGACTGGCCGACTGTAGCAGCACCCCTTTCACTCCCCATCAAACTCCCCTGCACCACCACCACTCTTCCCCCACCCCCCACCCCCCACCTCCTATCACGCCTGCACCTATGATAACACATGCTCCCTCCCACAATCACAGTGGCATTGGAAACCGTTATCACACCACTCAATATCGCACCTGCTTGACTGGCCGACTGTAGCAGCTGTAGCAGCACTCCCTTCACTTGCTGCAACCCCTCCCTCTCTCCCATCACACTCCCCTGCACCACCACCACTCTCCCCCCTCCCCCCACCTCCTCCACCCCCCCGCCTTCCACTCCTCCCAAGCCTCCCACGCCCAAACCAGAGCTGCCTCCTGCTGTCACTCCTGCCGAGCCTGGGGTGGAGGTCTGGCCCAGAGCTGCCGAGCCTGCGGGCGGAGGTACGGCGGAGTTTCCGAGGCTGTGGAGAGGTTCGAGGGAGAGGGAGAGGCCGAGAGGGGCTGCTGCTGCTGCCAGCTGTGAGTGGGGGAAGGGGGGAAGGAGATGGGAAATGGGGAGAAACAGGGGCGAGAGGGTTGAAAATGGAGTTCCCGAGGCTGTGGAAAGGTCCGAGGTTTTAGGGTTTTGGGTTTGGAGTTTAGGGAGAGGGAGTGGGAGAGGGAGAGGGAGAGGGAGAGAGGGAGAGGGAGAGGGAGAGAGGGAGAGAGGGAGAGAGGGAGAGGGAGAGGGAGAGTGCGAGGCCGAGAGGGAGAGTGCGAGGCCGAGAGGGAGAGTGCGAGGCCGAAAGGGAGAGTGCGAGGCCGAAAGGGAGAGTGCGAAGCCGAAAGGGAGAGTGCGAAGCCGAAAGGGAGAGTGCGAAGCCGAAAGGGAGAGTGCGAAGCCGAGAGGGGCTGCTGCTGCTGACAGCTGTGTGTGTGGGGGGGAAGCGGATGGGAAGAGAGGGGTTGGGGGGCGAGCGGAAGGGAAGAGAGGGGGAGGACAATGGCAAAAGATGCTGCAGCTTGGGGGACCACTGACGAATTGCTTCCCAGCCCCCATCATTCCATTCATTACCCCCCTTCCCCTTGCCCTCCCCCCACAACCTTCACCCACCCTCACCCATCCCCAGCCACCCTCACCCATCCCCACCGCACCGCACCTTACTTGGCGCCGCCTCGATCTTCTTTACCAGCGCCCTCAGCAGGTGCTGCGAGAACCACTGGCGAATCCCGTCGCGCCACGTGTCCCTCCACTGCAGCACCCCCAGACGCTTAAAGCCCTCCTCCTCCTCTTCAGGCAACATGGGCTTTAATCTCTCCACCTCGCCCTTTTTACGCACTATGGCGGCTCGAGAGGGACTAGGGGTTAATCTGGGATGGACTAAAAGGGGCGAGGATGGGGCGTTGTCAGATGTGACTGCATCCGATGTGACTGTATCGAAGGGGAGTGAGGAGCGAGGGAAGGTGAAAGAGGGTTGATAGAGGTTTGAGTGGTCTGTAGAGGGAGCAGGTGTGGAGAGAGAAGAAGGGAGGGTGTAACGGTGAGGGGTGGTTAAGAACGGTGCAGTGGCGTCCGTGTGTGTGTGCCGGTGGGAAGGGGTGGAGAACGGTGGTGGAGAGGAGGACCGGAGAGGGGAAGCGGGGGAGAAGGAGGAAGGGGGGAGGGGGGAAGCAGAGGCTCCTGGGGAGGAGGAGCGGGGGATATTGGGAGTGGTGGGGACGAGGGAATCGGCAAGGGTACGTGGGGAGATAGGAGGAAGGCGGTCAAAATATTCTGGTTGAAACTGATAATAGCTACTCGGATAAGAGGCAGAGTAATCCCCTCCTCCTCTTTCTCCTGCTGCTCCTCCTCCTCCTCCTCTTGCTGCCGCTGCTGCTGGTCCTTCGCCTGCTCTACCTCTTCCGCCCACAATGCCCCTTCCATCTCCCCCCTCCGCTCCTGCTCCCCCACCCACTCCCTCCCCATCAGAACCACCAGCAGCAAAAGCAACAGCTGCTGCTGCTGCTGCCATTTTACCATCTAGGTTCATTAGCAGCTGTTGCAACTCTTCCTTTGTTTCCACCTGCTTTCTCCGACCTCCCAGGGGCAAGGGAAGCGACTGCGCGAGCGAGGCGACGTGGGGGGGAGGCAGGGAAGGCTGGAGTGAGTGAGAGAGTGAGGAGGAGAGGAGGGAGTGGGAGTGGTGGGGGAGGGCTGGGAGGGAGGAAGGGGCGATGGGTGTGGTAGCAGCAGTTGTTGCTTCTGGTGTGGGTTGGTGGGAGAAAGGAGGGTGTGAGAAAGGAGGGTGTGAGAAAGAGGAGGGAATGGGAGACGAGTGAGAGAGTGGGGAGTGGGAAGGGTGATAGGGACTAGAAGAGGTGGCAGAGAGCGAGGGTTGGTTGGAAAAGGAGTGGGCTCGATTTGGCTCCTGCTCTAGCAACTGCTGCTGCTGTAGTTGATACTGCTGCTGCTGATACAGCTGCTGCTGGTAGTGCTGTTGCTGTTGCAGCTGCTGCTGCTGCTTATGATTCTGGGCCTGAGGCTGCTTATAAAGAGTACCGTAGATGTTTGCAAATGGGCGTTGCTTCTGGGGGTACAGAGGGAGAGTGGGGAAAGGGGAGGAGGAGGCAGGTTGCGGCGAGGGAGATGGGGAGGGGAGAGGCGACGACGGTGCGGGAGTGTGGAGGGATGTGCCAGGTGTCGCAGGGTGATCGGTCAATCGTTGAGGAACAAGGGGAGAAGCAAAGAAAGTCTGCTGGTTCTGTTGCTGCTGCGGCTGCTGCTGCTGCTGCTGCTGCTGCTGCTGCTGCTGGTTGTGGTTTAAACCATATGGAGAGGAGGTGAAGGGGGAGGCAGGGAGAGGAAACGAGGCGGAAAACGAGGAGGAGAAAGGAGGCTTTGTCGGGTTGGTAACTCGCGCGAAGATGATTTGAGCAAGGGAGAGGAGGGAGAGGAGGAGCAGGACGGAGAGAGAGACTTGCAAGGAGGAGAGGAGGATTCCTGCTGTGTCACCACTCATGCCTGCATCCACCAGCCAGTCCCACACCTGCTGCTCCCTGCACACACAGATACAACAAACAAAGACACGTGAATGGAGTCTGATGTGAGCGAAAGAGAGAAGGAGCAACTCGCAATGCAAGAAAGAAAAGAGGATTCCTACTGCGTCACCACCCATGCCTGCATCCACCAGCCAGTCCCACACCTGCTGCTCCCTGCACACGTCATGCGGGTACAAGGCAGGTGAATGGAGTATCATTTGAGCGAGGGAGAGGAGCATGACTAGGAGAGGAACTTGCAATAGAAGGAGGAGAGGAGGATTCCTGCCACGTTGCCACCCATGCTTGCGTCCACCAGCCAGTCCCACACCTGCTGCTCCCTGCACACACGGGCACAAGGCAGAGAAGTGGAGTCTAATTTTGCAAAGGTTTTTTATCCAAGGTTCAATGCAAGGAGGAGAGGAGGATCGATGCTGTGTCACCACCCATGCCTGCATCCACCATCCAGTCCCACACCTGCTGCTCCCTGCACACAGGTACAAGGCAGAAGGATGGAGTGAGAATTTGTCATTGTTTGTTATTCAAGGTTGAAGGACTGGGAGAGACTTGCAAGGAGGGAAGGAGGATCCCTGCCGCGTCTCCACTCATGCCTGCATCAACAGCCAGTCCCACGCTTGCTACTCCCTGCTTGCGGGAACAAAGCAGACGAATGGAATTATATTTCGCCAATGTTTATTACCAACGTTTCAGGGACAACAGAAGACAATGGCGGAGGAGAAGGACTGAGACAGAGAGAAATTTGCATGAAAATAGGCTACTAGAGGGGAGTGATGATCAACAGGTTACAACGGAGGATGAGAGGCAGGTAATATACGAGTTGGGATGTTGAAAGTATATAACGAGTCTCCTGCTGCTGGCATTGAAGCGTCTCAATGTTTCAAAAGCGAGTGGGAAAAGCATAATGTGTCAGTTGTCCGTCACTTGTATATGGTGTCTATCATTTTCCCGTCGCTCTCTGTCAGTTGTCCGTCAGCAGTCTGACGCAGTCTGTCGCCTCCCGTTGTCTAGCGTCGATTCAGAACAAGTCATTACCTCGGTCGCGTTGCGGCCAATAGGAGCCCAGCGGTCACCGCTATTCCCGCCGCAACAGTCGCGTCCGTCAGCGTCGGCATACCGCGCTGCGCTTCGAGCATCCGATCAATCAACGGATGGCGATACGTCTGAAACGCGCCAATCGCGGCGGCGCCAGAATTAGCGCCAACGGATTCGCGGCGCCGGCGCCACCGCGGTCGACCGCTTCCGCTGATCTCTCCGCCTCCCGCCGGGCTTTCCCGCGCTTCCGCAGAGGACGGCGGGTGTTCCCATGCGGAAGGCGGAACTGGTCGCGCGGGCGACGGAGATGCGCGGAGCGACGGCTGCGACAGGGCGCTGGGGAATGACGATCTTCGGCGAACAGCTGGCGACGGCGTCGCCATAGCTGTCGCCTGGTGTCGCTCGGGTTTATTACGCCAAAAAGGAGGAGACTGTACTCAATGCGAGATCAACGCGGACTAGAACTACCAGCCGTCGCGGAATAACTAACCAGCTTATGACCCAATAGCATGATTGCCGAAAGAATGGACACACACGCAACTAGCCGTTGCAAACATTTGCCGCAAGCTTTAAAGCCCGTGTCTCGTGTTTCTCATCTACATTATTGTAATTAGGGTTCGGCAAACCTAAATATTTTGATTGGTTATACCTAAGCGCAAATGCCAACAAACTCTCTTATAACGAATATGGTGAGGTTACAGAGTTTGTGTTTGCATGGACTATGCGGGACAAAAAAATTACCACGTGTATGTGAATCAAGAAAAAAACAGGAATGAAATGACTAAGTGAAAGTTGGGTACAAAAGGCAAACCCTAGGAAACTGTACCCCATATGTGCTACCCCACTATAGCCTACAGTAGCTATGTCAAATAACTCTGACACACCCCCATAGGCAAAGTGGGGGAGAACAAGGGGTCACAAGACCAGTCAAGCAAAGCAAAGCAAGCTCAGGGTGGATCACAAAGTCACCACACATTCCGAGCACAAGTTCAAGGCCACAAGGCCAGTTCACATGCAGGATTACATATATATATAAGGCTAAACAAGCAAGAGCAGGAGTATATATATATGCAACAGTACAAACAAGGTCAAGAGGTGAGCAAGTGAGGCAAGGTAGGCACAAGACCCAGCTGAGTACAGAAGCGCTGATGATCACAAGGCGCAAGTGCCTTGGTGAAGATATCAGCAGTGTTGGCCTCAGAGGCCACGTACGCAAGACGCAGCTGACCACGCTGCTGCAGCTCACGAGCAAGAAAGTAGCGGAGAGCAATGTGCTTCGTTCTGTGCTCCAGTCGCTGCTCCCGACACAAGGCCAGCATGGCCTTGTTGTCTACGTACAGCACTGGAGGAGAACGAGGCAACTCTCCGAGGTCAGTCAGCAGGTAGGTGAGCCAGCGAAGCTCCTGTGCAGCCATGGCTCTTGCGTAGATCTCAGCCTCACAACTGGAGCCGAGAACAGAAGACGAGCGAGTAGCCCGCCACGAAACAGAGCCGGAACCAAGGCTGAAGGTGTAACCCTGTGACGACCGCTGCGTAGCCTGGTCGTCAGCCCAAGAAGCGTCTGCGTGCCCAGTAAGGACCACTGGACTCTGCCCTCCAAGCACAAGCCCCATGCCCGACGTACTGCACAAGTAGCGCAACACCCTCTTCGCTGCAGCCATGTGCTCCGGTCTGTGTCTCCCAGGAGCAACATAGCGTGCAAGAATGCTAAGAGGGTATGCAAGGTCAGGTCGTGTGCAGGTCATCAGGTACATGAGGCAGCCAACAAGCTCTGGGTACGGGCCACTCGACTCTACGGACTCATCCGAAGGCAGAGCTGAGAGCGAGTGGCGAGTAGGCAGAGGAGTGGCCTGAGGCGAGGAGTACATGAAGCCGAAGCGCTGAAGGACCTGCTGCACCATGTGTGACTGAGTCAGGGTAATGGTGCGGCGTGCTCTGTCCCGAGTGATCTGCAAGCCAAGGTAGCTGCGCAGTTCACCCAGGTCAGTGCACGTGTGTCTCTTCTGCAGCTCGGACTTCACGTGGGCTAGTCCTGCAGTGTCAGCTGTGGCAAAGACCAAGTCGTCGACGTACACGAGGATGTAGAACGGCGGCAAAGAAGTGTCGGTGCGCAGAAACAGCGACGGGTCGGCAGTAGAGGGAGCAAACCCAAGAGCCGCAAGTGTAGTCCTCAGTGTGTCGTGCCACTCACGCGGTGCCTGGCGGAGACCGTAGACTGGCCGCCGTAGGCTCCACTGGGTGCCAGGAGGAAAAGACCCAGTGAAGCCAGGTGGGCGACGCAGCCAGATCTCCTCGTGCAGGCTGCCCTGCAAGAAAGCAGTGCTGAAGTCAAGAGAGTGTAGCTCGTAGTCACGGTGAGCAGCTACGTGCAGCAATACCCGAAGAGTGGTCATCTTCGGGGTGGGAGAGAAGGTCTGAAAGTAGTCAACTCCCTGCCGCTGACTGAAGCCACGAGCCATGTAACGCGCCTTGAAGACAGGCGGAGAACCCGGCGGTCGCTTCACCCTGAAAATCCACATGCCACTGACGATGTTCGCCCCAGGAGGGGGAACAGCGTCAACGTAGGTGCCTGTGGACTTCCAGGAAGCCATCTCTGCGTCCATAGCTGCCTGCCACTGAGAGGAGTAGGGACCCTCTATCGCCTCCGCGTAAGAGCGCGGAGTCGGGATGTCAAGTGCATCCGGGTCTCCCTCAGGGGTAAGCAGTACGGACACGAGATGAGGTGAAGCAGCGGCCAAGCACTGGAACTCCTCCTGCCTGTCCTCAAGGACGTCCGTGCCAAGGGCACACTCACCCCCGACGGACGGAGGACAGACAGACTCAGACTCAGCAACAAGACTGGCGACGTAGTCTAGGCGGCAGCGAGCAGCAAAGTCGACGAGCTCAGCAACTAGAGCAGACGCAGCAGTGGACTCAAAGGAAGGGTCAGTGACAACAGTAGCAAGGAGACGCGTGACAGTAGGACTGGCAGCGCGAAGAGAGTCCGACTCCGGGTCGGCAAGAGCAGGAAGAGAAGACTCAGGAGGAGAAGGCAAAGGGGCACGCAGAGGAGCAGTGGACGGACGCAGAGACATCCGGTGCGTGCCAGGGACAGGAGGAGGACGCTGACGCGAACCGCGACCACTAGTGCGAGCAGCACGGACAGGCGACGCAGGGCGAGACGCAGGCTCACGACGCTCAGCAAGACCTCCAGTAGGACCAGTGTAGGGAGACGGAGCAGGCAGTGGGGAGGCCAGCTGTAACTGTAACTGCGACGGGACAGGCTGTGGACACTCTAAGGGAGGAGGAGGACCAGTAGAAGGTGGGAGACCAAGAACCTGCTGAAGGAGCGGAACGAAGTACGGCCGAGGCCGCGCGGCGACTCCAGGCACAGGAGGGACAGCACCAGCACCCCCAGTGGCAGCACCAGCGCCAGTAGCAGCTCCAGCTCCAGAACCCCCAGCAGCACCAGTAGTACCCCCAGCAGGACCGCCTCCAGGACCGACAGCAGTAGCCTCCGCGCCAACACCCGCAGCAACTCCAGCTCCAGAAGTACCCGCAGGTCCAGCAGCTCCAGTACTCCCAGTACAAGCACCTCCGGGACCCGTGGCACCAGCTCCCTCAGCAGCAACAGAACCTCCAGTACCCGCAGCACCTCCAGCTCCAGCAGCTCCAGCAGCTCGCCTCCAGCGCCGGGCAAACCACTCACGCAGCTCCTGGGGAGAGAGTGGCTCCCGGCGAGAAGGAGCACCCGGAGAACCGCCAGGCACAGCACCACCAGGCGTAGCACCCCCAGGCTCAGCACCTCCAGGCGTAGTACCCCCAGGCTCAGCACCCCCAGACGCAGCACCCCCAGGCTCAGCACCTCCAGGCGTAGTACCCCCAGGCTCAGCACCCCCAGTCGTAGTACCCCCAGACTCAGCACCCCCAGACTCAGCACCCCCAGGCTCAGCACCCCCAGGCGTAGCACCCACACGCTCAGCACCCCCAGAGTCAGCACCCCCAGGCTCAGCACCCTCAGCAGCACCAGAGTCACCAGCGACCTCGACAGGCTCAACAGCGTCTACCTGGGACACACCTGAAGGGGCAGGACCCTGAGGGGGGAGGGGGTCTACCGGGGGGGGACCTGGTACAAGGAAGAGCGGTGGCGGGGGGAGGGACGGAGTGCGGTAGGGGAAGAGGCGGTAGTAGGGGACCGACTCGTCGAACGTGACGTCCTGGGAGGACAGAACACGGCGAGAGGTGGGGTGGTAGAACTGCCACCCTGGGGCGTCAGGGGGGAAACCCAGGAAGACGCAAGGAGCAGCACGAGGGGACAGCTTGTCCGCAGACAAGTCGCGGACAAACGCCCGAGATCCCCAGACACGGAACGCAGACGCATCGCCAACCTTCCCCGTCCACAGCAAAGCTGGGGAGGTCTCCGGCATGGAGACCCTGGGCTGAAGGTTGATCTGATGCGCCGCGTACCGAACCGCAAACGGCCACAGAAAATGGGGGGCAGCCGCATGCATCATGGACGTACGGGCGACGTCCATGACCATGCCAATGCGGCGCTCAGCAATCCCATTTTGCTGTGGAGAGTCCGGAAGTGTGAAGGTCTGGCGGATGCCTCGTGCACGACAGTAGGCTCGCAGAAGGCCAGAGGAGAACTCTCCGCCTCTGTCAGAGTGCAGACGCAGAACAGGAAAGTCCGAGCCGAAGCTCCGCCTGAGCTGGAGACGAGCTGCGCGGATCCAGTCGATCAACACCTCAGTGACATCACCCTTGCTGCGCAAGGGGAAGACTGTGGTGTAACGCGAGTAGTCGTCAACCACCAGCAGGAAGTAGCGCTCGTGACCCTGTCCACGGACGCGGGCCGGGCCCCACACGTCCATGTGAAGCGTCTGCAGCGGGGCCTCTGTCGGAGGAAACTAAGAGGAGTGAGGGGTAGCCCGCTGCGGTCCCTCGACACAGGGGACGCAGGTAGGGCCAGGCCCCGGAGGAAGGGGAGGGAGGGACCGGGGAAGACCAGAGACAAGGACACGGGAGGCCATGCTCCGGAGACGAAGCAGGGAGGGGTGACCAAGGCGGTGGTGCCAGAGGAGAGTCTCGTGAGACAGGAGGCGACACGAGCAGGGGGCAG